GAAAAAATAAGAGAGATACGAATTTTCTTCTCAAAAAAGTATAATTGCTCCTTAATTTTGGTCTCCTCTTCTCTTTAGGGCTGGAGCAACTCTAATTACTTACAGAATACTAAGATCAGCAATCAAACAAGAAAATTAGAAACCACTTCTGGATAAAACAGAAGCTTGTATCCATCTCCTTAATTCCCTTGAGAAAATTGACAATGCATCTCTCTCATAATGATCCTACTAGTCGAATTATATAGCATTTTGCAATAACAAAATGGTACTTGTTGCAATTTACTCGGGAAAAAAATCTCAATTTGAACTCTAATTCAATCGTTGAGCATTAGTTGTTGAGGATCGAACAGATAGAAAGACTAAATGTGTCACATTTGGTTATAACATTATTATGTTATTTGTTGACTTTGATACAGGAGGACTGAAAGTGAAAAGGGTGTAATCTACTTGAATAAGGCCTCGTTTGGTTATTGTTAGAATCCTTTGGATTCTGACTTTGCAAGGAAACGTGTAAAAGAGTTGTACCACAAGTCTAGATATGCCGTGATATAAGAAAGGGAGTTTCCTTGTGTTTTAATTCTTTTTAATTTGTCATTAATTGATTAATATTAGGAATTATCTTTATACAAAGAGTTTTCCTATTTTACAACTTATTCTCCTACGTGAATAACCTAATGGATTTTATTTCCTTGGTATTTTAATTAGTATTTTATTAATTGTGGAAATTAGTGTTTGACTAGGACTTAATATCTTTTGATAAGGTTTATTCCTAATAAGCCTGATACGTATTTTGATGTTGGTCTCTTGTAGGATTCTTTATCATGCTTATAAAAGAGAAGCAAAGACACATTACCGTGTAGTGCTTATGGAGAGAAAAAAAATTTCTCTTTTCTTTGTTGCTCTTCTGGAGTCTTTTTATCGAGAGAAAAATTCACATAGAAAATATTATTTGCTTTTTTTTTTATTGCTCCATTGTGATACGTGATTTTCATAGAAAATATATCAGCTTCAAGGCTTTGTGGTGAAGACTTAAACAGATCTCGGGAGGAGATCGATCCGCCGACTGAGGGATTTAGCGTTGAAGGGAGTTCAACCGTGCAGAGCAAGGGACGTGCTGCATATTGAAGATTTATAATTCAGCGTAGTATACAAGAACGGCGTCAACAAAGAGGGAGTCTTTGTATTTTTATTAAGTCCTACTATTGTATTCGTAAAACTAAAAATTAGTAAGTTTTATTTGCAGGTCCCCGTGGATGTAGGGTACGATTGTATCCGAACCACATTAAATTTGTGTCTCGTTTATTTCTGTTTTTACGAACTGCTTCACGAACTGTTGCAACACTTCACGCAACAGTAACGAAAAACCGAATCTGACACAAATAATTTATATCTGCACGAAATAAATTCTAACAGTTAGGAAGATGATCCATGATTAATTAAATATTGAACTTTGTCCGATGTTTGGTAAATTCAATAACTTCCCAAGTCGGCCCGAAAATATTATGTTATCATGCCTTTCAGGAATTTTTTTTGGACCTTCGAGGGTCCAATAAAATGATTTTGTTTTCATAGAATTTAACTTTATCTTGAGTAATCCTATCTGGACAACTAAACAATGGCAACTAAACAATGCCTAAAAGTATAATTGTACCCTTTAGTGATTATACAATGTATCGTCATGTAATTGAAATAAACAAATTAAAATTGTTTGGTTGACACACGATATAAAATATGTAATAATTATTTAGTGTTTAGTTATAAATTTAAGTGTTTGATTTAATTAAAGGGATAATTTGGTTTGCCCTCTCATTTAGAAAATATATAGAACTCTATATTACACCATTGGTGATACCCCTGATTTGTTTTTCAAAATGTGACATACCCTTGGACTATTCTGAATCTGTTCGTGTGATTTTATACAGTGCACGTCTATCTGGACGACGATGATTATTCTGGCCGGCTATGGTGTTTTTCGAAGTCATAACTTTCTCACTCCGACAGTCGGAATTTAACGGGTTATTCACCGTTGGATTCCTCTCGTCGAACTCTTTCTTTTTATGGTAATTTTGTAATTTTGGGAGCTCTCGATATGTACCTGTGGTTGTTATAATGTGAGTCTATTTCGACGGCGATGGCTAGGATTTTGATAGAAAGTGTTTGGGGGGAGTCCTTGTCGCTATGTTTTAAAATTTTGTAGCATTCGCAGTTATGGCCTCTCTCTTCTATGTATGAAATTTCGTTGATTTTGAGTTTTGTGAAGTTTCGTCAATTTTTTGGCCGACTTGCTCTAAAATTTATATTGAATAACACAAAAATGCGTGCAATGTTACTAGCATTGTCTCCCCAAATAACCCAACTATTTTTTATTTTTTTATTTTTTTTGCAATTGCTGTTTAATGGAAGCCATTGGTCTTCTAAATGAAGGTGCCAAAATGTGGTTGAAGTTGTAGCCGAATTTGGCGAAATTGACATATGTTTCAAGCTATAGTCGACTACATACTACACATTACTCTAGTTACGTATAGTATCATATAGTAACATATGAATATGATTGTGTTTTTCGATACGTATTTATTGGTTACGAGTTGATTTATAATATAAAATTTAAATTGTGAATTTTGTTGTTGAAATTTCTTTGTATAAATAGCGATAATATTCATGTGCGTACATAATTGGCCGATCATGAGTTTGGGATAAAATGAAAGAACATAACTACAAATAACTATATTCATTTTTAGTCATTTTTTGTACGGTAAACATATCTGGAAAAAATATAAAAAACTTATTTAAAAAAAATTAAAAATATATATATAAAAAGATAAACAAACAGGTATATATATATATATATATATATATATATATATATATATATATATATATATATATATATATATAGAGAGAGAGAGAGAGAGAGAGAGAGAGAGAGAGAGAGAGAGAGTGTAAAAAAAATTGGTTAACGTCAAAGAGGCCCATGATAAGGGCACTTAATTAGAAAAGGGACATTCCAACTTTTTTGTGTTTCAAATAATTCCTGATCATTCAAACTTATTTGCAAATAAGGAAAACCCTTTTATAAATACCAAAATTACCCTTAATTCCTTGAAACCCAGTTCAACTCCAATTTCATGATTTCACCGACTAACCAACTTTGACCATTATTCCAATTTTGACTCGCCAATGTTGGAGACCCCCGGTCAGCCGCCGTTGATGGTCTCCGGCGTTGATTTTTTTTTGTTTTTGGAAAAAAAAAATTCTGAATTTTTTTTCTAGCAGGTCAACCGTCAGGTCTCCGGCGTTGACCTTTTGGAGACCCCCGGTCAACCGCCGTTGATGGTCTCCGGCGTTGATTTTTTTTTGTTTTTGGAAAAAAAAATTCTGAATTTTTTTCTAGCAGGTCAACCGTCGGGTCTCCGGCGTTGACCTTCTTTTTCATACTTTTTTTTTCCCGGCAGGTCAACCGCCGGGTCTCTGTCGTTGACTTTTTTTTCTAATTTTATTTTTTCTTAAAAAAATTACTTTAATTAATATTATTGTCTTGGATGCTAAATTACTGTCTCCAACAATAATATAACTGTCGGAACAGTAATTTAACTTTTAATTGACTTTTTTTTTATTTTGTTTTTTCTTAAAAAAATATTTTAATTAATATTATTGTCTTGGCTGCTAAATTACTGTCTCAAACAGTAATTTAACTGTCGGAGACAGTAATTTAACTGTTAATTGACTTTTTTTTTCTATTTTTTTTTCTTAAAAACAATTATTTTAATTACTATTACTGTCTTGGCTGCTAAATTACTATCTTCAACATTAATTTAACCGTCAGAAACAGTATTTAACTTTCTGAGATAGTAATTTTACTATATTAATTAATTTTATCGTCTTGGCCTACAACTTTGCTGCCTTCGATCGTAATATTAATGTCTCCGACCGTAATATTACTGTCTCATGCAATAATATTACTGTTTGGGACATTAATATTAGTAATATTACTGTTCCGGAAAGTAATATTCATAATATTCCTGTCCCAAACAGTAATATTACTGTCTGAGACAGTTATTTTATTGTTTGGGACAGTAATATTAGTAATATTATTGTTTTAGTATGCAATATTACTGTATAAGACAGTTAAATTATTGTCAGCTAAGATAGTAAAATTAATTAAAATATTTCTTAAGAAAAAATAAAATTTCAAAAAAAAAAAATTCAACGTCGGAGACCAGCGGTTGACTGGCCGGAAAAAAAATTCAAAAAAAAAAAGTCAAAGTCGGAGAACTGCCCGGTCAACGCCGGAATCTGGCCGGGAAAAAAAATTCTGAAAAAAAAAAATATTTTCTGAAAAAAAAATATTTTTTTCAAAAAATTATTAAAATGAGGGTAAATGTGATATATTATTTAAATCCAGAGTTAATGTGTAATATTGAGGAAGTTAGAGTATAATGGATGGAATTGATAAAAATTATATGATGGAGGGTATTTTAGACAAAAGACATGGGGATGAGTTTATTTCAAAGACTGTTTTTTTTGTGGACCAATGTGCATTTAAGTCCATTTTCATGTCCATCTTGATTCTTTGCCATTTGCCCATAAAAAAATGTAAAAAAGAAAATTCAGCGAAAATGCCAGATGCATAACCAAAAATGCTAAATAAAGATGGCGAAAATGCATTGCAGTTAAGCGAAAATTGCATGCAGAAACAATATACTATTTTTGCTTCTCCAGAGAAGGTATCTCAAAGGATTATGTGGATTGAATCTTTCATTAGTTTAGTAGCTCCCCAAGGGGAACTCAAATTATTCATTTATCAAATTATGTTGTAGTAACAACGTGTATAAATTGTATGTAACTAAAACTCAAAACTAAAAATTTCATGTTAACTTTACCTTTCTTTAATCAATAAGATTTTTCGTACAATTGCAATTTAAAAAACAGAAAAACCCTTGAAAATAAAAGAAAACGAAACTAGGAACAAAAAAAAAAAAAAAGAGGTGTAGAATGCTGATGGCCCAAGGATACTATATCCCACATATAATTTCTCACTCATCCCGCCCAAACCAAGTTTAATTGAACAAGAAATTTTAATGACTGTACTACCATTACATCTTGTATTAAGTAACAGACGAGCATATTGTACTGCTTTCTTTTCTGTTTCAATGTCCGCCAAAAACAAAAAAAATAAAATGGTCTCATCTTAAAGGTCTGTAACACCATAAAAAAGGTGCCAAATTACAAGCGTCCGCAATTTAGTAAAAAGTACGACTTACGGAACAAGAAAATGACATACTTTATTATTATTAGTATATTTGTGTGTACAGGGGTAGAGTGGTGGTAAGATATGTGAAAAATATTTAGCCCTTGAGAACCTGTAGCCCTTCCAACGACGCTCGGATATCGGAGCTGCTAAAACCTTCACAAGTTTTGGCAATATTAGGGCTGTCGTAAGATACAACATCCGTAAGTGGATAGGTTCTATTAGCATGGAGTTGACTGCTAGCACTGCTGCAAACTCCGGTCAGCACTACAGACTTGTGAACACCGCCAATCAGTCCTTCGTAGTCAGTGTCTCCACTTTCTCCAACAAAAACAACCACCTTCGTCAAATCCATTCCCCACCGTAGATACAGATACCTATAAACCAAGTTTTACGTATTAGCTGGAAAATATGAACATGTCTAATTTTCTGAATTTATGGAAGAAAATAAGTTTTATTAAAAAGAAAAAAAGAATCTTCTTATGACCTACACGATAGTAATTTACGAGACGTCAAAAGCAAGAAAGATGCCAGATTCCTATGTGCATGGTATGTTTCAAGTTCTAGAACTGAGGTCTAAAGATTATGTTGAAATTTGCGGTTACGACATAGACCAATAACTATAATAGACATCCCATAAAGAAAATCATGACCAACTGCTTCCTATGCAGTCAATTATCAATTGGCATAATAGCAAGTTTATGGATACATTATTTCGATTCGCTTCTTTTGTTCAGCCGACTAATAGTGAAGGCCAAGCAATTATGATTTATGATACATAAACCAAAAGTGCGTTTGGAGCGGATGTGTTTGGATTTGTGGATGGATTTCAATTCAAATGACTTGAAATGAGATGGATTTCAAATCTAAAGGATTCATTCCTCGTGAAGTCTAAAAGAATGAGAGAATAATATATAACAAGTGCCAATAAATGTGACATAATATACCCATTCATAAATAAGAAACTTGTACCTGAGGGCTTGGGAACGAGAAGCCAGAACTGGAATAACATTGATCTTATTTCCACTTTCACAATGTACAACATGACAGCGTAGTGCCTGAATTCTCATCGACTTTCTTAGTTCCTTTACAGGAGGAATCTGCAATCGAATAAACATAAATTAATACTTTCTGCTGAATAGTCATCTTATGCAATTGAATAAAGATAACTTGAGTACTTCCAACATTAAAATATTTTTATTTTACCGCTCCAGGTTTCTGAACTTTAAAAGAATAGCAGTAGTCAGCTGAAGTCTCTTCATCTTCAACAACAATGTGTTCTTCGTTTTTTACAGTAGAAGCCGCCCACCGCAATAACGTCTTCCTCAAACCTTCACCTCCCCATCGGTATTCAATATGTGAATGATAATACAAGTCACCCACAAACGGGTTGTCTTCTTGATGAAGAGACGAGTAATAAAGATCACCCCCGCTATTGCAAATAAACGCATCAAAGTCAGTCGGGCTCAACTTTTCTCCAACCAAAAACGAACGCATTTGCGTAATGTTAAAAGACGTAGCCAATATAAACCCAATCGAGCCTTCGCATCGTTCCTTCTCCACAGCCTCGAAAATCTTTCTAACACTTTCAGAGAGACCGTTACTTGGATCAGCATCAACAGCAATTACAAATATGTGCTTTCTCCTCCTCAAAGCTGGGAACTTGTCTCCTTTTTCGATAGAACCAGATCTCTGTGGAGTCTTTGCGACACCCTTTGACCACGTCTGCATGGCATTTTCGAGCTTAGTTTTTTGATCTTCGGAATCTAGGGAACCGTCGATGTCTCTGCCCTCACTCTTATCTCCTTCAAAGGAGAATTTCAGATTCAAAGATATATCTTGTATGTCACGCAATGAGTCACTTGGTGAATCTGATTCTGAATTTTCGTCATCATCGTCATTTCTCAACCAACGAGGTTGCCTTGGTTTGCAACCTGCTATTTTGGAGAGATATGTTTTACAATGTTCGGGCCATGAAAAGAGGTGAATGTTTTTCAATCCATTTGATCTACATTTAGCCCAGAGATGCTTATCTGCAACTAGCTTCAAAAGAGCTTCAGCTATGGACTGCTGACTGTGTGGATCAACAAGAAGACCATTGTCTAGAACCTGCCATAATCATGAAAAGGGAAAAAAGCCAAAGTAAGTACGAATGTCGAAGAAGGCAAACAATATCAAATGAAACACAAACACGGAAGCAAGTGTAGATATACCCTGTGTATGTCAACAGGGCCACCATTTTGTGTTGCAACCATTGGCAGACCATAGGCTGCAGCCTGTTAGTGGCAGAGAACTCGTAACAGTCAGATGGAAAAAGAGATATCAAAAAGTTAAGATGTCTAATGTAAATTGAAGACATACCTCGATTAGAGTAAGCCCAAAAGGCTCGATGAAAGCTGGGTTTATGAAAACACCCTGTCAAAAAAATAATAATCATATACCGAGATAAGTTTTATAAGTAATAACCCTAAGGTACTTGAGTATCTCAAAAATGCATATGGGCAAAAAAATGGTGTGCCAATTGCATGCACACCTGTACTACTATTTCCACATGCTATTCAAACTCTATTATATAAGATGTTTCAAGTCCCATTACAATTTTAGGAAGTTGGTTTTTTATAACTTCAGGGTACTGGCTCAACGGCATTTAGCAAAAGCAGAAAGCATGTGCTCTCTACACAGTTGGGTTACACATGGTATTTAACATCGGCGACTGCTAGGAGTTTTAAATTCTAGATTCATTTTTTTATTCTATGCTGTCTCTCAGAACTATTGAAAATGTCATTTAGTTCAGATGTAATATTTGAAAGGCACCATTCTCGATAGCTGATTGACAACTTACACCTACATAGCATTCTCAAAGACTAATTCACAAAGCTAAAGCTTTCATTTAAGGGAAATTGATGAATTTTAAAAACTTGTGATGGGGGTAGATGACTGTTTAATGGGGAGGATCAAACCGAGTATTAATCCACTGGGAATTGAACCAATAAATCTGGAATCATTCTCTTTGGAAATGGAATCAAACAAAACAGTTGATCCATATCTTCAGTTAGCACTCCTTAATGACCAAGAGAGGAACAAACCTCAACTCATTTGGTTATCATTACTGGAAGAAAATGAGGTTAGGTTGAATTTCAAATGTTAACAATGCAAACTAAGCAGTCCAGGTTTTATTTACTTATCTTGGCTAGCAAAGTTTAGTATTTAAAGACTAGCAGAGTTTAATATTACCTTAGTCTTTGCTGCTAGACGGTATATTTCAGGAACATCAGATTGCTTGTGATGTTTAGGATATGCCACTTGACCATAGAGATCGTACTTATCGATCAGCTTAAGGATTGATAGAAGAAGTGAAGCATTTGTTCCCGACATTTCATCAATATTATCTCTGTTGCCCATTATCAAGGTCTGCAGAACACAAATCAAATAGCTATAACCACCACTATAATGCAATATCCAGACAAAAAAATAAATAAATAAATAAATAAATAAATAAATAAATAAATAAATAAAAAGGGAAAGTGTTTGCAGTTGCGAAATTACGAGATTTGCAAGCTCTCTTAGTGGTCGACATTCTCCAAATGCTGTAACCAAGGTTGTGAGGTTCTTCTTTGGATCAGGCCTGGCAAGTGCAAGAATCATGGGCTTCCTTGGATTTGAAAAGAAACGCATTATCTGTATATACATTAGTGTAAGATACTTGCTCAAATTTTGGGTACACTAAAATCGATAAACTAAATCTTGACTATTGGTAACTGATTTTAGAGAGGATCGGCCTAACCTCAGTCCAAATAGTTGGATCCGGAGACTTTCCATCTTCGTTTGCTTCAGTTTCAGCATCCATGTCTCCCTCATGCGGAATAATGTGATGAAATTCCATTCCAGGTGGAATTACCTTCAAAATAGAGCAAGTATCAGATAGAATTAGAGAGAACAAGATAAAGATAATTACCTGATTTATCTGAAGCTTAAGAACTAGATAATACTAAGAACTTCAATCCTCATGATTCAAGTGAAACGCAATAATCTTATGAGCTTTTGTCAAGTTCACTTCACGTATCAGAGATTAGGATGTTAACTTCTAGATGGTAAACAATTAATTATAACCACGGAAATGCTTCCTTTTTTTCATATTACTTAACGAGTTGGAAGAACAGTAAATTCGAGAAATTAAATGCAAGAGTCCTTCGACACCTTTGTGTCTTGTCCAGAAAAAATCCACAATCAGCAGTTCAGGCAAATTCTGATTAAAGAGCTAACCTCAATAATAACAGTCCTTTACCTTATTTACTTAGTTGAACATATCAATCTATGTAACACGTGCAGAACAAAATAATAAGCGGATATTACACTTTAACAGCCCTAAACTTACTATTTAGGAATATTGATGAGCATAATAATAGAGTACTTACAACCATCCGGGGCATTGACCTTCCATAACAGCTGACGTTACGCCTTATCCTAGCCCGCAGTTTACGCTCTAGTATCGGATCAAAACCATCATACAAACGCCACTGCGCATCTATCTCCTGCCTTGTGCTGGTAATTACCATCTCCGATGCATCGAGGGTTAATTCCTCCGCCTCAATCCTACGCATTATCTTGTACGTAGAATTAATCTCGTCCCTCGTTTGTCTGGCTTGTCTCATAAGCTGTTCAAGCTTGTCACGACCCAATGAATGACCAGTGAAAATCATGGGAACATTCAGCGCACCAGATAACAGAGCTGCTGAGTCACCCGCATCTGCATAATGCCCATGAATAGCGACGGGCCACACTGGATTTCCGTCACCAATTTGCTCACCAAGAACTTTTGACATTTGTATAACGTGGCTAAGAGCACCATCTACAAATTCAGGTATATGGGGCCACAAAAGTTCTTTTGGGATATATTTATCTTTTGGCCCAAACGGAATACGAACTATATATGCACCGCTGCTTTCTCCCATATCATCCATCGGCCCTTCTGAATTTAGTGGATTCAGCATCTCTGTGGGTTCACCATAGCTCCAGTCGACTTCGGGTGAAGATACTTGTCTTGTAAGTAAGTCAACACGATATACACCTGGCATAGAAGCTAATGCCCTTGCCAGTTCAACTACATACTTCACCTGAAGAGAAAGAAAAAATAATACAAGAATACAATCAACCAAACTCTTTATGTCTCCATAAAGCAACTGAGAATTATAAACAAGCTTATATGACAGTTAAACACCAACCTGACCACCGGTATCAGAATCGCGGCCAAGCTCCATGTTCTCTCCACGTATTAAACCATGAACGCTGCAAGAGAATGAGCGTCAAGCAAGCGTGTAATTCAGTTATAGTACATCGTGTTTATATTACATCTTTTTTTTCTGACGTATGCATTAAATTGGAAAATCATGCATGTTTAAATTCCAGTTCGTCTCCGTTCTGTCACTTGCAAACTTAATATGTAGAAGATTCGAGGGATCATATAAATTTATAATAACTTTAAATGAGTATCTGATTTTTCTTCGTGCGTGATAACATGCGAAAAAATTAATGTTAAATCTTTTTTTTTTTTGCGATGAAATAAAAAAGATAAAAGATTCATCATACCTAATTAATACAATGTACAACTTTTTTCCCTTTTGTTGACCAGCCCAAGCCTCCATAGCGTCAACAGAACTAATTCTTGCCAAACGACCTCTGGTACTTTCACCGAGAGTTGAAAGGTCACTAACTAAGTCTCCCTTTTCACCCTCGGATAAATCCTCGGACATGTCAGCAACTGCTTCTCTGCGACCTCTTTCACGTTCGAGACGGCGTTTAGCCATCCTTTGGGCTTCCTCTCCCTCAAGCTACACGGATTATTTATTCGTCAGTAAAAGCAATGGTGATAATTCGGCTACGGTAAAATAAATACCAATTTAAACAGTATTAAATCATCTTGAGATTATGGCGTAACTTCTCGTACACTTAAATGCAAATGCAAATAATCGTAACTAGAAAGTAAGAAGTTAAACAGGGAAGTAGAAACACATAAAATGAAAATGGATCAAAAAGTAAATCTGCATTAGAAACATTTCCAATTCAAAACAAAAATCATGTGCGGCGTCATGTATTTATTATGGCAAGCTGTTTCATTCCATATTTCATTCGCTCGTCCGCAAACTACTTCACGAGAAAGGCAATTCTATTCCCTATAAAATTCTGCTTCAGTAATACTCGTAAATCCAGTTCTTGCTTACTTTGCAAACGCAGCTAAAAGATTCTTCTTAAAACTGAATAAATAGATTCCGTTGGTCTATTTGCCCCTGATATCTAAATGTGCTACAGTTGCAACCGAAAGAAAACACTGAGCGAAACTTCACTACCGATTCGCATCAACAATAATTAACTCAACATAAAAAAAATATTATTCCTCGTATCAGATTTCAATTAGTTGACGTCATATGGAACTCACATCTTTGAGAATAGATACATTCTAACAATCTTCAAATCGCTCACAAAAACCAAAAAAGGGAATTAAAAGAAAATTGAATCAGCGGAAAAAAAGGTTAAATCGTTGATTTGAAGCAGCCACACAAACAAAAAAGGAAAAACAAAATCATCACCTGCTTTTTTTGGCGAGCCAAATTCCAAATCCGCCAGCACATGTTCTCCAGCCTCGTGTTCCTCTCCTGAGGACTCTTCGTCGCTTGCGCCTGCAACGATTCACAAACACACTCACATCAAAAAAAATTAAAAAAAAAAATAAATAAATAAAAAATCAGAGAGAGCTAGAGATAAATCGAAAACAATACATACTCGGACCCAGGAGCGGTGGAGATCGGTCTCATCGAATCCGGTAATGACCTCCTCGACGAAGTATCGGGTCGGGCTGAACCTCCCCCTCTCCCGCAGCAGCAGCGACGATTTCGCTTCGTCGAGTCCGGGGCCGACGTCGAGGATTGCTTCGAGGTAACTGTTAATCCAATCATTTCCCGCCATTCCGCACCGGTGATCTTGTGTATCAGCGTCAGAAGTGGTGGACTTGAATTGAGTGTGTGCGACTGTGTAGAGAGAGAAGATAGAGAGAGAGAGAGAGAGAAAGAGGGCGAGACTGATGGGTAGGATGTATGTGGAGAGGTGGTGGTGGGGTGATAAGGACACTATAATCGATACTGAAAATTTATAGGGAGATCCTCCGAGTGTAGAGAGAGAAAGAGAGAGAGAGATATTTTTATGTTCATTTTTTTATCTTTTTACCCGTCAACAAATTGACTTTTGACGACTGTTTTTCATGTAGGACCTCTATTTTAAGGGACTTTGGACATTGACCCCCTATAATGTTGGAAATCAGTTTCTAGCACTATTTTATTACAAATACTATTATTTCACCTATTTTATATTCGGATCATGGATGTACTTTTATATATGAACCATCAATCTTCATATGTTTATTCATTAGGGAATGCATACTAGTTCAAGGAAATGCATATTTATACGTTTATACATAAGTGATAGAATGCAATTTTCTTTGATTTTAACATAATGCTATTTTCATGTGAAATGTTCTTTTATTTTTTTCGGATTAAATACAAATTGCAGACATGTAGTATCGTCTCCCATATACCATTTATGTATTATAAGATGCGATAAAGTGGCCGTTGACGTTAAGCCATCTTGAAGAATTCGGTCTCTTTTCAAAAGTGTGATTCTTTTTTTCTCTGTTGTACTCAGTGTACTCCTAATTTTTTCCATGTTCTAACTTTGTCGTGTTTGTAGTATAGGGAAGTATATGCGACACGACACCAGTGATAGTATAAGTGCAATTTTTATTTAACCCTTTTTTTACAAACAATCAACTCATAAGTGATCATTAATTATGATTTCTTGGTTGTTACATTTTTAAGATAAAATTTTTGATATTGTGATGAAATTTGAGCAAAACTAAAAATGAGGAGAAATAGACCAAGTATATAAGTATATCTTTTAAGACTGTTTGTAAACTAAAATAGAAGTAGAAGATTTTTTTTTATTCGAATTGTAATAATACATAATAATACACAGCTGACTGAAATTAGTCAAACTATAATTCGTCAAATTCTTCATCAAATTTTTCAAATCTTACAAAAATTAGTCAGATTGTGCAAATACGATTTTTTGTTTTAAATTTTTATGGGGTTTTGTGCATATGTCATAACCAAGCATCTTTATTATTCTAAATTTAGGGGTTATATTTATTTTTATTTTACCAATAAGCTCATTCATTTAATATTTATTATAAATAAAGGAAACATTCATGTATATGGCAAATTACCCCCAATCATTTATACAAATTTCTTAATTATAACCCCAATTTAATTAATTTTGACCAAAAAAATTCAATTTTGATTTTTTTTTCAAAAAAAAAAATTAAGTATTTTGTTTTTGCCGTCGGTCTCCGGCATTGACTTTTTTTAGTGTTTTTTTTTTTTTTTTTTTTTTACGTCCGCCGCTAAAAGTTGACCGTAATTGTGTTGTCACCGACAATAAATTAACGTAATTATACTGTCAATGACTGTACATTAACGTAATTGTACTGACTTTGACAATACATTTATGTAATTGTTCTGCCGTTGACAGTAAATTAACGTAATATTATTATTTTTTTATTTTTTGTTATTTTTTTATTTTGTTTGATTTGTTGACAAGTCAACGTAATTATATTATTGTCTTTGACAGTAAAATAACTGTAAACACAATAATAGTACTGTCAACCACATCAATATTATTATTTTTTTGGGTTTTTTGTTTTGTTTGAGTTATTCACGGAGTAACGTAATAATATTATTGTTTATTATTGTAATATTACTGTAAACACAATAATATTATTGTGGTTGACGGTAATATTACTGTTGTTATAGTAATATTGTTGTCAACTACATCAATATTATTATTTTGTTTGGATTTTTTTTTTGTTTGTTTGAGTTATTCACGAAGTAACCCAATAATATTACTGTCTATTATTATAATATTACTGTTTATTATTGTAATATTACTGTGGTTGACGGTAATATTGAAGAGATTCGTAAAATCTAGACGACGACAAAATCAATATATTTAATTAGCTAGAACTATCATTATCATCTTGTTGTTTTACTATTGTTGTATTATAAAGTTGGTGCATGTAAAAAAAAAAAAGATTATTTGTTATACGTGTGCTTTATTTATATACTTCTTATGTTTGTTATATAATGTGAGGGTAAAATTCAAAAATCATCCCTAAAATTTGCATTCAACTTCAAATTCATTCTCGAGGCTCTTATTGACTTCAATTTCATCCTTCCAAGCCTCATTTCACCAGCAAATTTGGAAAGAAATAAAATAAATACCAAGATTAACCTTTATTAAAAGGTTACCTTAATTTGGTGGAACAAAGTAGTTTGAAAAACTAGTTATTGGAAAAAGGAAAGTTGGAGAAAATTTAGTTTCTATGAACACAAACAATCCATAGAAAAATATCATGCATTCATCGAGAGGCATAAGTCATAACCATGAAATTTTATTGTGGGGGCCAAGATTAGAATAATAAAACTAAATATTTGTGGGGTTTCAAAGACGCCGATCTTTTTTAAAATTTGTCATATAAAATACCAGAAAAAGTAAATATTTATAAACTTTAATTATGCAATTTATGTGGACTATGTAAGATGAACGAGTTGAATGTGTATCATTTGAAGATGAACTGAAAAGAAAATAGCGGCTTACCTTTTTTTAATGATAGAAATTAGAGACTAATTATCAAATTCATATATTAAATAATGTATTAAATTTTAATTAGAGTCCTTGTTAAAAAAATAAAATCATATATAATCTTCAAAGAGAAAAATAATAAAAAAATATTTTTCTTCTGAAAAAATGGAGCCAAATAGTTGATAAAAGTGGTAAAGGGCAGTTTTGGGAGTTTAGAAAATTTCTTCTCATTTGGCCGGTGAAAAAATACTCGAAGGATGAAAGTGAAGTTCAATAAAACCCCAGGGATAATTTTGAAGTTGACAGCAAAAATCAGGGACAATTATGAATTTTACCATATAATGTGCAAAGAGTCTATGATGATGCTAAAATATAGCTCACCGGAGTAGTATAGAAAACGAGCTGGGAGAGCAAAGCTGATCGGTAGCTAGTCAACTCAATGATCCTGAGGTCCCTACAAAAGAAGCACACGTGAACTAAGCCGGGGGTTGATCCGGCGGAAACCCCTCCGACGCTCAAGTCAGATGTACGGATCGTAGAGAGAGTAGAGGGAATAAATCTTGAGATGAATTGCCAATAATGAGAACGTACCTTTACAAATGAGTAAAATATCTATTTATATATTGTTGAATGGGTTGGGCTTACTTTGTTGGGCCCAAGCCTTATTTTGAAGGAGCTTGGGCTTTCGTGTAATGGACCCACATGTATGTGATTGGACTTTTGTGTAGTGGGCCTAATTGGTAGATAAATTTGAGGGCCCATTGGGCCGGCCCATTTAAGTATATCAGTCTAGTTTCAACCACAAGACAAAAGTCACAACATGTAGAAGAAATTTTGATTTAAGTTCTTTTTTTAAACAATAATTTGATTAAGTTTTGTCTTAGGATTTTGAAATATTAAATTGTTGCTAGAAATTTTATTGGGTATTATATTATGATTTGGTTTATTTTTATTAATTTTTTTAATTGAAATATAGTAGTTATTAGTTTTTATCAAAGTGTGATTATATGTTTTTATTTTTGAAAAATCGTGAAATTTTCAGAAAATTTCCGCAAATTTGAAAATTTATGTGATTTCTGAAATTACGAAATTGTCGGTGCTTTTGAAATTAAAATAAATTGTTAGATTCCGAAAATTTTATAATTGAATTAATTTTATACTTTCTAAAAAAATTGGCAAGTTTTTTAAAAATGTTAATTTCAGTCCATTTCACCCCTATAGAAGATATGGTCGCTCAGGGGCGAGTCCACCCTTGGGCAAGGGTGGAAAAGCCCACCCTCATTTTTTAATTTGCACCCTATATTATACAATATTTCTATTTAGCCCACCCAAATTTATCAACTAGCACACCCAAAATTTTAATTAATGCAAAAGAAGCCCCATATTTTATTAATTAGCCTACCCAAAATTCAAATTAATACAAAAAAGTCCCAAATTTATTAATTAGTCCACCCAAAATCCAAATTAATACAAAAAAACTCTAAAATTTGTTTTTTTCTTTCTTTTTTTTTTTCGTTTCTCCTTTTCCTATTTTCAAAAAAATCCTAAAAAAATCTCGGGGCGCTGCCCCCGAACCCCCGAAATTGAAGTCCCCCTGTACCGAATTTCTGGACTCGCCACTGTGCTCGCTCATACTACTAATCAATGATTTACCGACATGATTTAAGATTTAGTTGAGTGTATTTACTATTTTAACATATTATATTAGAGATGACTGACACGCGCGGAGAGAGTATCTGTCATTTTGTACTCGAGCAAGTCGTGTTGGTGGTGTCGTGCACTTTTGCTTTGAATTTGTTCCCACTTCATTATTCCTGGGATTTAATGACGTTTTTTATTGTACATGTCATCTAAAACCAGAGTATATTCGATTATTCTGGTAATGTGCTTTTCTTAGACATTTGAAAAGTACAAAACTACCCTCAGATTCTTTGGTTTTGCACCGACTAATATGGCTTAATTTAACTTTGCACCCTTGCATATAACATTTTGGTACTTTACTCCCTTAAAAAAAAAACATAGCATTTTGCACCCTCGAGACATGATAAATCATTCACAATGCACTATGCATTGACATTTTTCAAACTTGATGAGGACAATTTTTTTTTAATTGGTTTTTTTTAGGGTGCAAAATAATAAATTAACTTGTTATTTTCTTTTACCCTCCAACCTAATTTCGAGCATTCAAAGTGCCAAAAGAAATTACACTGAGTTACTCTGAAACTATATTTTCTCACGAAAAATAACATAAACCTTTATCATTAAATTATTCGATGGGTGGATCTTTTATTGTAATTGATAAAAATATGTAATAGAAATTTTTGTACGAAAATATAAGTATAGTTTCAAAAGGATTGACGAACATTAAATTTTTGATTTGACATTTGGCTATCTCAAAGAAATACTACTAAATTATTAAATTACCTTCATTAGCTTAAAA